CTCCTGAATACATTTTGGAGGTGACCTGCTCCAACGGCCACGAAATTGACAGACTATTCTTGCTGCCCCTGTCATCTTGTATCCCTCGTGACATTGAAAAGAAAGCACGTCACCAGGACTATATCTGCCGTTGTAAATTTTAGCTGTTGTTTGCATGTATGAGTTTTGCACATCTGGACTGCCGCAACCTGAAAATAAAACATCCATCTATGAAAAATACACCAGATAGAATGATCTTGCAAACATGTCTTTGGAAACTAGTTAAAACTCGGACACTTTTCTTATCATCAGAAAGGTTGCCACAAAATCGTAATGACCGATTTTTGACTTGGTGACAAATCACCCAAACTTTATTTTTATTTGAAGAATAATCATATATTACCAATGGTAATCAAAAAAACTTACAAATGCTATGCATAATTCTCATAGCGGTTAGGAGCTAAAATTGTACAATACAAATTATATTGATTTATATTTGTTATATTTTAGTTTTTTTTATCATTAATAACAAAATCTCAAATTACAACCAATGAAATATATCATAATAAATGCATTATCATAATTGTAACCTAATTTTTTGAAAAAAACTCGAGCAGGTCATATTTAGCTGTGAATAAATGTAATTCAATGCAAAATTACCTTCGATGCAAACGACTAGCGACATTGCAGCTAAAAATCACAAACGCGATCGATGTGATTTCTCCCAATGATCGGTGTCTTTCGTCGCCTGTCAACAGAAACAAGCACTGATGATTTCTTTCCTTGCCTTTGGCGTATTTATATGAGTTCGTTTCGCGCATTTTTTTCAAGATCGTGCCACGAGCATCTCAATCTTGATTGTAATTAAAGTGTCAAGTTTACGATTTGCAGAACACGATATATTAAAATCGTAGTAATTTCGAAATTTATGCGAGACCATCTCTTGCACGATGTGTTATTCAACAATACTTCGTTCGTGACTAAGTATTCGGTAACATTGGGCAATGATGCAGCAAAAAACACAGGATATAATCTGGACTGTGACATTGACATTAATGTCAAATACGAAAAACAAGACTCTGCCAATATGAGTTAGCTGATATCATGTGAATTTCATTTATTCTATGTATATAATCATATACCTTACACCCGACGTGAGGTATAAAGCAAAACATCATAGCTCTGATTTTTCACATAGCGGGTAATTAAAATAATACATTTTATGACAAGAATTCTTTCAATGGATATATTTAACTATATATATATATTTGTATTCCACCTATAACAATATACACTCCCGTATTTCAAGTAATTGAACGTGAAAATGTTGAAAATACAGTCATGAATCGACCTAGAAGTATCACAAAGTTCTTCAGTGCTGGATAAAATATTTTGGAGCAGCATTGCAATGAACATCAAATCAATCTAAATATTTATATATATATATATATATATATATATTACACTGTGTTATCAGAGCTTACTAAAAATAAAATAAACGAGAAAGGTTTAAAAATAATATAAATATTCAAATAAATTTAGAAGTACCTTTCAAGCCATCATACTGAAGGGAGTAAAATGAGGAGAATAGTGAAGTACAAATGATTAATCAAATACAACAGAAAAGTTCAAAAATTTTCAAAATGAAGTTGAACTGAATCATACACCAGAACGAAAATGAGGAAAACGTTATTACACAAGAACCATTTCGCATTAAACAAAGACATGCTTTACTCAATACAATATGTGCTGGGTAACATTGCGCAAATGTTTTATTCAATTTATACATTTTCTTTATCCACAAATATTGTTTTCTCATTAAAAATATTTTCGTATACGCATCGCTCTAAGACGAAATATTGAGATTTACAGGCCAAGCGATATCTTAGGACAAAATTCCGATTTGTTCAAATGAAATTTTACAATTTAATGTCTTTATGTTGCACATACGTGTCTACACGTATCTAAACGTGCACGCGATGTGTTGTGAATATATAGCAAGACAAGGGTAAGACGACATAAATGTCGACACACTTTGCATGTAATTTGAAAAAGGTGTGAAAATTTATTTATTAGCATTAAACCAACGCTGAACACTTGACGTCAGTAAAAAAAAACATAGTAATGAAGTAAAATTTCTGCCTATAGACATTTCTTACATTTCTTACAAAACTTTTATGTAAAACTTTAACAATGACAGAGCAAGAACATTCATTGGCCATGTCAAATATGCTATAGGTATATGAATAATAGTTCAACTACGTTTAGAAATGGACTTGGCTATGGTATTAGTGTAAACAAATACAATATAATACCACAAAGTCCGGAACGCATGCCAAATTCGATTGTTTCAAGCACTAGAACATTGTAATTATTTGGGATTATTAAACACGTATATCAAATGGAACTCAATGTCTGAACTTGATCACTTAATTAAAATTTACGCATTTCGTTGCAAATGGTTATCTAAATAGGCTGAGGATTCCACAATGGCATGACAACTTGTTGGTCTAGATTGGAGTGCGTAATATTTTATTCCTTCTAAAATTTAAAGATACTTAATATAGCATACTATGGTTAGTACGTTTTAACTGATTCACTGATAATAAAGCGCAAATATAAAATAGAGAGAAAATGGAATATATTCTCAGTAAATGATTGTCAAGTTTATGGTTCACGCGCAGGAAATATTGTGGCGCCTGTATTGGGATGTAAAGCGCGATGAATAATAATTTTAAGTAAATAATAATTTTAAGTAACATTTTTAAAAACAACTGATTCCATCTGAGACAACACAAGATTTTATATAATGTTCCTGTGACGCAGATTTGGTCTTGACTGAATATTTTATTAGAAATTTATTTGAGTATTAAAATTCGATAATCTCACACTGAGATCATGGTCGAATACATCTCAACTTGACACGGCTTAGAATATATAATTACCTAAATGAGTACCACAACATATACGGGCCCTTATACCACCTTCTCCAACAAGCTGATGGCGATAAACAATAATAAAAATATTTTCAAACATTCCCTTTTCCTCCCCTCCTACCCCCAAAAGTGTCATAGCTTCCCTGACATGATAATTAAAAAATAAAAAAAAAGTGGAACAACAAAGAAATGACACAGAGGTTAAACTCACAATTCGCAGAGTTTACAGAATTCACAAAGTTCGAAATTTAAGTCAATAGGGAGAATGATGATTTAGCAAAACTTGGCACTCTAACAAGCATTACACTCTACATCTTCACTCATTTAGCAAAATTACATGAAAATACCACCAATCAAAAACACCGAAAATCATATGGATAAAAGTCAATGCCCAAAATAGTCTAACACATCGTATTAGTATACTCGACTACATTTGTTGAATTTGAATCACCTATTCGGTGATCTACGTCCGATGGAATTGCGTGTCTTCATATCTGTCGATTTCTTTGAGTGTCGCGTTGAAAAGGCGATAATCATAATCCAAGTAATAACAGCATCGGTATCAACAACATATGCTGATTTTGAATTTTTGCAAGGACAATATTAGCTCGCTGTTAAAGAAGTTTGCATTGAATAGGAAAATAAGTCTGTAACTAACTCACCTCTGACCCGCCTTGGAACGGGCCATAGGATTTAACAAGTTTCGCTTTGTCGGGGTCAGTTTTAGAAGACGATGTTTTGTCGACTTCAATTAGCTATTCTTTTTATGAAAACAATTGAACTTACTACGGTGAATTTGACCCCATTTCCACTCACTCCCTGATATATCATCTCCTGAACCAGACGTTCTACTTTCTCTGACATTGGGGGAGCGTACGCTGTGGCTGACGAATTGGCCTCGCTTCATCCTTGCCATTAGAATGTGAATTGACGATTCGTTTTGTCTAAGTCATACAGAAGGCCTCATTCGCGTTTCAGAACAAAATGGCGTCTTATATCCGCAGAACGTTTAGTGACGTCATAGCAAACAAAAACAAATCTTACAGAGCTAACAGAAATATTTGAAATAAATAAAAGTAATAGCCTTCTGGAGAAAAATTTCATCTTCAACCACTGAAAATTTCAAAGCAATTAGTCCAGTAATCAAAGAGAAAAGCGACTTTTTAAAAACGTGTCAAAGAACAAGAACAAGAACAAGAACAAGAACAAGAACAACAACAACATAATATTGAAACGATCGTTATGTCCACTACGTGTCCAATAATATATTTAAATACACGTGGAATCAATTGTACATGAGTCATTCGAATACTGTAACATACAAAGCATACGAACAGAAAATAGCAATTTATATAGTCGTCAGTTGATATGTACTTTGTATCAAAACACGAAGCAAAATTTATTATGATCTGTATCTGCCGAAACTAATCGAAGACGGAATGATTAAATACAGAAAAAGCCTTGCATTTTAAAATGCCAAAAGAATACAGACACTTTGAAAAGAGGACTAGGCCCATTAAGTAACTATGGAGTTATTTTCGTTTTAAAATGGCATACGAATACGTAATATTGGTCTCCTATTGAAGTAAAAATTATAACATTATAACGACCTTGGGTCGAAATATGAGGTCCAAGAGTACGTCTGTTTGCTTTGAGTTGTACGAAGCCTGAGAAAAATTACCACGTGTTTATGTGACACGGCATTACAAAAGTTTTGCACAAACCTAATTTTTCTCAAGTTGATGTGGAATGTGGATCACGTCCGCATGATAATATATCATAACATTGTCTGTGACAAGTTCGCTTTCCGGAATGCGCTGCGTCTCGACTTGTTATATTGATTACAGTACTTTGTTGCAGACTCTACTGCTAATTCAAGCATGCTTTTTTCTGTATCACTGTCAATGCGATCAGGAGATTTTTATTCAAGTCGGCGTATTTAAACTCGTATTACTCGTGTGATTTTTTGGTAACATAACTTTGAGCTTCTTAAAATATGACTTGTTCGATATTCGATCTTTGTGTTTAACGGTTTAACAATTACTCTTTTATCACTTACTATTTGATGAAAGCCTTGTTTCTTCTTGCTACATCCTTCTTTCAAAAAATCTCAGTTAAAAGCTGAAAACATTTTGTTTAATATTCATTTCCAGATGAACTAATGAACGACAAGGTGTGTGTATTTGAGTTTAGCGTTGTAGCATTTTAGATGCAGTACGTGATATGAATTGCAGAATAGACCTGAAATAGAAATGAATACTTTTAGACGGTGTTGAAAAGACTTTTTTCGTTGAAATCACATGTCTGCGTATATTTATTATATTGCAACCGCTATGCATTGTTAAGTTTGACTCGACTTAAAATATAGAAAAACGATTATTATACATTTAAACAGGTTTCAATGATTATTTAATGCAGTCCAATAAAAGATATTTTTGGTCAAAAATACGTTTGATGTAGCTATTTTTTCATATTATTGAATTCCGCTTTTCTCTCAGTATCATTGCCACAAGAATTAAATTCTTGATCACCGTATAAAATAAACACTATATTTGTATACTTCTTCATGAGTTAAATATGTGAAATTAAACAAGTTCAAGGAAATGCTTGAGAGATAAAATTTCAGTTGATAAATTAAAACTGTGGCAATCGAAACCTCGAAGTTTATTAAATTCCTTGTTTTTGGAAACAATTATTTTGTTGTAATTTATGATATCAATTTTAAATAATTGTATAAGTATATGTGATTAATATTCTAGTATTTCAGAATATCCAGATATTTATTTAAATAATATAGAATTCATCACAGAAGATAATGAACATTGACGAAGCATTTCAAAAGTTGAGGAAGTGGGGACGTTATCAAACCGTCATTTATATCCTTGTGCTTGTTGCTTCTATCCCAAATGCTTTTACGACTATACAATTTGCCATCAATCATTTTGAACCGAGTCATCGATGTAGATTATCTGATGAAATTGAAAATTTATTGAAAAACGTAAACACTTTTTATTTTATTCGTAGTGGGGCTTGATAAACAATCAATAATTAATTAAATAAAACGAATTTGCTATCTACTATTTTTGTTACAGTTTTCAACAAATAAACTCTCCATTGCAGAAGTCAAACGACAGTGAAGAAATTCTTAACTATTTCATACCCAAAGAAGTCGATAGTTATGGAGAGATAATTAGAAACGAATGTCACATGTACAATCGAACTTATTCTGCAGAACTCTCGTTTATCAGTTCCAATAATTCTGTTGACATTATACCGTGTATGAATGGATACATATTTGACACGCCGTCGAATCATGATAGCGCAGTTACTGAGGTATAAATCAAACATCAGATCTTTCAACCTAATTCTTTGTTATTCACTCTTGTTTTCTTTTCATTTACTCCACTTACTACTTACTTTATTGCGTTATTTTCTTTGAGGAAGGTATAATCTTTTTTTAATTTACATTTTTTAGTTCGAAATGGTGTGCAACAATAACTGGAAAGCACCTTTAGTCATTACATTCTTCCAGACGGGAATGGCAAGTGGATCTGTAGCGGGCATGCTTGCTGATAGGTAAATTTTTACCTAGTGCAACCTTGACGCGATTGTTTATGGTATTGCATTCCTACATATTCACATTCGCGATACGAAGAAGACTGATTCCAAAATGCCGTATAACACACTATTCACGTTATTGGCATTGGCATTAAACGGGACATGTAAAAGTCAGCTTTATAAACCTCTTACATTAGTAATGTATGTTATTTATAAGTAGCAAATAACTTCTCAAAATATATTCGTAATTTGTAGGTATGGTAGAAGGCCAGTGTACCTGCTCGCGACTTTGGCTCAGATTGGATCACTGGCGTTCATAGCTGCTGCATGGAACTATTATGTATATCTGGCTGCAGCTTATTTAAATGGAATGACTGGAATTATCAATTATGTTGTTGCTTTTGTATTAGGTGAGATTCATTTTTAAATGTGTTTCTTTACATACACCGTGCTTTTTAACCTAATTTTCACTTTACTTCACTTCAGCAACGGAGGTTATTTCGGTGAAGTCAAGAAATTTTATGGCTATTTGTTCATTATATTCATTTTCCATCGGATATGCTATTGTTCCGTTGATTGGCTATTATACACAAACATGGCGTTCATACTTATGGGCATCCATGGTACTTGGCGCTTTGATCTATCTTCCGGGCTACTGGTATGTATTTTATGCGGCAAATAAACATTTTATTAAATTTTCATTGTCAAAAATTCTGAAAGTCAGTTATATTGTTACATTTACTAGTTTATAAATGTTTGGTGGCGTTTCGTTCCTATATCTAGCACCTGACTTCAGCAGAATATTTCATCTGATTATATGCGTCGATGGAAAAATCAGTTTTGACTCCGAAATCCCTCGTCTCGGCTGTAACTATATTGGCTACGTCCGCAACAACAAACTTACTTCTTTGAAAACCTAAAATCAGTGCTGTTTATAGATAAAAATATTTGTATATTTTCTATAAAAAAACACAGAGTTATATTTACATGAATTTACTTCCAACTAAGTTGAACTTTTAACCATATCTTGGTTTTCAGGCTGTTTCCAGAATCACCACGTTGGCTATTGACAGTCGGTCGGAAAAATGACGCGATTGTAGGTTTGAAAAAAATGGCAAAGATGAACAAAATGAATATTGATTTTGCATCAATAAAAAAAGTATTGTGATTCAATATCCAAGTTTTTTATTCTACTATTATCTTGGTAGTTAATTTTACGCTAAACAATTTACTTTAAGGTACAAGGAGTTGATTTCCGTAATACGATGGCATCTTTGTCAGGGCCAATAGAGACGCTTCGCATATTTTTCAAATCTACATTAACCTCTAGATGTCTGGCAATTTTCTTCGTTTGGTAAGTGAGACAAAATCATTGTTTGATATCACGCCCCAGATTTGTATCATGGTAGTTATCTCCAAGCATTTTTATGACATATGCGTGATATTCTAGAAATATTACTAACTGAAGAAAAGTTACCAATTTCAATATTGAGGTTTTAAGCTGTGCTGGTTTGAGACCGATGGCAATATTTGAAATACCTCATAAGGACCTTGAGCGACAGTCAATCATCGAAACCCCTCTTCTTTGGCAATTACGTTTCATTTATTAATAATTATAATAGAGCATTGCGGATATATAAATCTGTAAAAAATTCGATAACAAAGTTGAGTGACTCGTTACGAGTATATGGCAGATATATTTTCGTGAGATCAGAGCTTTTTGCAAGGCAGTTTTGATGGTGTATAAAAGATTTATAAGAGTATATTAAGCCTTATGGCGCATCGCGCTGAGCGTTGTCCATACGCTCGCCACCGCACCTATGAGTACCCTGCGTGGGTTCGCAGGTTCGAATCCCACGCGGGCATAGTTATGTGCGAGAGGATTGTTGGACTCCTCGCTGCCGCAGGGTGGTTCACGTAACCTCTGGTCGGTTACGGCTCCCCCGCCAGCATGTTCATGCTTCCGAAAACAAATAATTGGATAACTAATCCCATACCCCAAATGAACTGGCAACCTGACTAGAGGCTGTGGTCGCCATTCGATTAGGTCTTGTCGGCTTTCCTCTCCCCCGAGATAAATATTTAAATCTTACCCTATTATCAGGATAAATTGATAAAAATATCAGCATGGCCAAAGACGGGAATCCGAAATGGCATTGTCGAGAAAGTGTCGGAAGCAATTTTATTGAAACTGCCTCGAGGAATATAAAGGATTTATAAGTATTATCACATTATTGCTACACGAGGCAATAATTCCTTCCCCGCCTACCAGATAATCAATTTCATAATAAGCAAAATATAAAATATTATTTTTTCATATTTTTCAAGGTTTGTAGCAGGTCTTGTTTACTACGCAATATCGTACCACTCAAAGAGCTTCAGTGATGATCGATACTTAAACATATTGTACTCAGCATTGGCGGAAATTCCCGCACTTGTTATTGCATATTATGCAGTCAACATTTTCGGCCGTCCAAGATGCACAACTTTCTCTCTTTTGATCTGTGGAACTTCGAGCATTATCCTACCTTATTTACCAGAAGGTTAGATATATATATCTTCAGTTGTATGCGAGTTTGTATTCTGAGCAGATAGCAATTAAGCAACGAAACAACATACATTACGTTGTTCAATACCTTTTCCTGTTAAACATCAATCTATAACTTGTTACGTGAGTAATTTGCTTCGGCGTCATTTGTCTGTTTTTCCAAACGATATTTTATTTCCTATATTTTTCACACAACAAAAGGTAACTTGTGAAAATGAATATTTATAGTATTTGGAATTGCTGCTGATATTTGAACAAATGCAGCAGAACGAAACGCGAAAGCCAAACAAACTATTATCAAAACTTATAGTGTACCTATAGTCTTGCTTATCGAATAACACCCGACTTCTATGACCACAGCACGAGGCGCAAATTTTAATTTTTATAACGTCATCACACACAACTTAAAAGTGAAAAACGAACTATATTTTTTGAAATGAATAAAAGTAATAACCTTCTAGCGACAACAGCAAGATTTAACCACTTTTAAAGAAGCTTGAATAAAAAAAAACAGGAATTGTTCAAGTGTGTAAAGCTCTGCAAGATTTGATATAGGTCCTTGACGATTTGGTGACAATATGATTCGATTGCAACAGTTCAACGCACTCGAAATAGATTTATACTGGATTTCTAAACTGAACTGTTCTATTGCGTATAAATTTAATGATATGAAGTCTTAAAAACAGCAAAAAAGCTATTTCCATTGGATTCTTTTAATGTTTATTTGTATACAGATGTATTTTCCGAGAAAATAACGTTTATAAGTTCAATCGAATCTGTTTGAGAATAGTCCAGATTCCATCTGACATAACCAATAAACAAGAATATCGGTCAGAGATCGAAGACTTATCGATCGAAAGTTAGAGGATCCTAAAACAGCGCTCTTACTCCATAGTGACACCTTGTGTCTCATCACTAATTAATTGATACCTCGCTAAATATACAACATAATTCATCCAAAAGCAATATGCTTGCACATGAATGCACATGCAAAATCTGGAGCAGATTCAATCTCGCTTTCGTGAAATATCGCGTGCATCTAACAGACAAACAGACAATTACCGATCAACATACTTACCGATTAAAATCGATAAGTAATGATCGCGAATTACAAATCTACGTTCGTATTACTTGCAATTTAAGTTTTATGTCAATACGTCCTAAAATATACATAATATATATATTCAATACAACACCAGTGAATGCTTTCATAATACTCATGAAAATAATTTAATTATTAAAAATTATATTATTTTTTCAGACATTTCTTTAATCAGGACAATAACATCTATAATCGGAAAAGGTGCTGTAAGCGCAGTGTTTTATATCACCTACTTGAGCACATCTGAAATAGCCCCCACTCTACAACGAAGCGCAGCAATGAGCATGGCATCATTCTGCAGTCGTATTGGAGCGATCGTCGCACCATTCGTCATGTTCATGAGTAAGTATGGATTCACATTATAGTTTATATATAGCGTCGGTCTTACAGATCTTTTTCGGGAAAAAGGTGTTTGGAACAAGTTATAGCGCACTTACTCAGAAACAAAGGAAAACCTACCGTAAAAGGGAGCCTGCTTAACAGTATATAATCTACCACTACGTCGAGGTATACATAACCGTTTATAGGCATATAAGCACACAAATGAGTCTACAATCCAAATTTTGCGAATATAATCTGTATTTAATTTTTGTTCTTTCGTTTATTGCAGTATTTACCATTGAAAAGATCATGAACGTACGTTTATTCAAGCTTGATTTTAATTTTAACAGGTAGAAAATGTATTCAAATAAATTATTAAAAAATGAATAGACGAGAATATCGGTCAGAGACCGATGACTTATCGATCGAAAGTTAGGGGATCCCCCAAAACATCGCTCTTACTCCATAGTGACACCTTGTATCCCATCACTAATTAATTGATAAATCGCTAATTATACGACATAATTCGCCAAAAATCAATAGGCTTCTGGTACGAGATATGATGAATGCACATGCAATCTGCAGCACATCCAATCTCGCTTTCGTGAGATATCGCGTGCATCTAACAGACAGACAAACAGACAGACAAACAGACAAATACCTATCAACATACTTACCGATTAAAATCGATGAGTGCTAACACGCAACTTCACCATTTAGATATATTTCATAACACTAATAATATACAGATAAAATTCAATACTCTATACCAAACTGGATAATGGGTGGATTGACAATTCTGAGCGGAATCATTTGTATCGTTCGCATTCCGGAAACAATAGGAGTGGAGATGCCAGATACAATTCAACAAGCTGAAAGTAACAAACGGTATATGGTTTATATGTGTACTTGAACAGTTATTAGATTGGATTGAAGTTAGAAACACCTAACAAGTTAACTATATATTTTGTTAATATTTCACAGATACTATGGATTCAATATATTTCGAAAATTCGAACCAAATAAATATACCAATCAAAGCAAGGATAATCACACGGAAAAGAAATTGACAACTTGGTAAATAATTGTTCTTGTACATATGAAACTTAGTAGAACCCTTACGATGAACCTTTGTAATATTCGTGGTTTTTCACCTTCATATTTTGTCATTCATTCATTAGCCATACGGTTTTTCACATACTTTGACCATATAATTGAACATTGCGGTACCTAATCTAGTCATGCATTGGTATGTCAATTGGCATAACGAACAAGCGCAAAAAAGTAATGAGCGTTCAAAAGACATGATGAATGTGACAGTTTTGTTCATAACGTCTATTAATCAAATGTAATTAAACAAAAAAAGTTTGTACAGTAACAAATTTTTAATTATCGTAATATTATTCTGTTAATTTTCAATTAACAGAATTATCGAAGATTTGCCTCAGACTTTAGATTGTATTATCGGAATAATACTGGAAACTTTCTCTTTTGCATCAACAGTGACCTCATCGGCACGAGCCATTGAAACGATTTTGATCTTTTTCACAATGTTTGCGTGTAAACCGAAAACAAAAAAATCATTTCTCATTCTAAATAACTTCTGTAGAAAAAAATGAAATGAACTAATTTCTAGTTGATCGAAAAAAATCCTTGTCTCGAAATTGTGCGAAATAATTTATCCGCGTGACGGAAAAGAAAAATCTTAAACGCCTTTAAATAGAATGGCCCAAGCCAAAATAAGTGAAATCCCAATAAAGGAACCGAAAAAAATGGAAAGAAAATTAAGATTTGATTGACCTTATTTGACTATTCTTGTAAGGTATGCTGTTGTTGTCCGGTCAATCTCTACTCAAGGTACAATTGTATAAGTTTATGTTTTATGTTTTGTCGTTGTTGAATTTATGTTTAATTGAACGGAGCAATAAAATTAAAAATAGTCAAAAATATATTTATCTCTTATGTAAAATTAACTGAAAAGTGGATAACTTTTAATTAATACATTATTTAATATCGCAGTCTAGATTTGAGAGTCTGATATATAACTAGTCAGCAACAACTAACAAATCGAGCTAAAAGAAAATTCGTGAGCAGGAAAAAAATTTCTCGCAGAAACCAAAGCATTAGTACTCCAAATGGTTCATAATTATGACATTGAATTAAATGAAATGTCAATTGAATGTATGTTCCAGATCAAAACTGAATCTCACCAGTTTGGTGTGTCTGGTGAGAGAATCCTGTCAGATTTATTTCATCTGTCCAAGCCTGCAATCGCAGTATTTGTTTTACCAACTGTTAATAGCCAACGTGGTGATTTGGGGAACAACCTGCAAAATATTATGTAAACGTGCAAAAAACAAAAAACACTCTGATGATTTGAACGTTAGTCTGAATTCATGTTATGAATCGCTAATTTTACATGGAATGATTTTGCGCATAATAACCAATCGAGGGAACAATGGCATATCCAATGGAAAATATTTGCCTCGAACCAACTGCCTGCTAACGAAATTTCTTGACTCAAAATATGAATAGAAATCCCAAGAAGCAGCCGTGATAATCATGGATATAATCTGGGCCAAAGGAGCAAACAAGTACACTGGTAGTCTACAATACCTTCAAAATTGGGCAATATTTCGAATGATCGATTACACGATATTATCTACATCGGGGTTTCTCAAACTTTTGGTGTTACGGAGCCGTTGAAGAAGTTTATTATTATTCACGGAGCCCATAATAAATTTTAAAAATAAAACAAACAAAACAACACATTGTTACTTAACGATGAATGTTCATGGGTAAGTTGAAATTACTTTACCCAATTCAAAAGTTAAACCTTTTATAACATAAAAGGAACTCAGATTGTGTACCAGCTTAGGGTTCAAGTTATGCGACATCTTGGTGCGCATACTTCAGGAGGTCCAAAATTTTAATATACAAACCGCAATGAATGCACTTATAATACAATGGAAGATTAATTGACCATAGCCTTCACATTGATTAGCTGAAATTTCATCTGAATCCGGGGAAATATGACGCGTGACCTCGACGTAGTATCAGAATGAATAGAAAGATACATAGCACGCGCAATATTCTACATTTCATCTTTAGTGCCTGGGGTAGCATGTTTCACATGTCGTGGGGCTCTTTAGAAAAATTTACGGTGTTTTTCATTTTTTAGTGTATATGATATCGTTTCAATCTATAAAAGGGCATAACGCATCGCCAATTTTGATCTGAGATGTTTTATAAATTCAGAAAAGTAAACCAGAGATACGAAGGCTAGTAGGCACAAGAGACAGAAAGATTAAATTAGTATTCCTCCACTGACAGTCAGAAATTTGGTTTGCACATTCACTAATTTGAATAATCTTAGCATTTTCCTTAAAAACTAAACTAAAATTTTAAAACGGGATATTCACGCATTCAACAGTTGAAGCAGCGCACACGCTAGTCCCATATGAACGCTTTTAATGCACATGGTACGAATGCACATGCTTCGAATCAATGTAATTTGGGAGCTCCCAAAATATGTGCACCAAGATGGCGCACAACCTTAACATTGTATGTGTACCAGGTTAGGGTTCAGGTTGTGCGCCATCAGTTCTGTATGCGATCTGCATCGTCACAGGCTGTCAAGTGTGACGTCGTTAATTAAATAATATTTTAATCCACCCTATTCTCAACAGTAGCTAGCTCAAGGGAAGCGTTGGGACATGATCAAACATTAGGACCGTGGTTCGAACCCCACATGGTGGGGTGAGTTGTAGGGGTGGACCATTAAACAAGGAAGAGAGACAAGTCGAGCAGTTGAGGAGAAAGGGTCAGGCCCAAGGAGCAGCCAAGGGAAAAGAAACGAAAATCGATTAGCGGGATGGCCCACAGGGCGAGATCATCATCGAGGTTAAAGAGTGACAGACAGCAAGCGTGCCCAATTCAGCATCAGGCCAAGGAGCAGCCAAGGAGAGAGAGCCAAGAGATTCATCATCGAGATTAAAGATTGACAGACAGCAAGCGAGCCCAATTCAGCATCAGGCCAAGGAGCAGCCAAGGAGAGAGAGCCCAAGAGATGAAAAAGAAACGAAAATCGAATAGCGGGATGACAGGGCGAGATCATCATCGAGGTTTAAGTGAGAGAGTGCAGGAAAGGCAGCCCACGAGCAAGTGAAGACCAGCCAACAGAGAGTGCAGCTGAGTACAGAGCACCAGGGCGCTGATCTGGGCGTGGAGGGGGGAAGGCAGTCGACGAGCAGTGTGTGCAGGTGAGGGACGTGGAGGAGGAAAGGCAGTCGGCGAGCAAATTGTGAATAATAAAAAATATAATCCAACCAACAGTGTGAGTTTAGCTGAGTACCGAAGAAAGTAGACCGCTGAACTGTAAGTAAGAAGGATAAGCCGTAGTGGGGCGTGGAGGGAAAGGCAGTCCGGTGACAGATGTGGCCGTGGAAAAGAGGGAAGACCGGATGGGGGCGGTGGAGGAGAGGCAGGCAGTCAACGAGCCGATGGAACGGGGGAGGAGAAGAGGCAGGCAGTCAGCGAGCAAGTTAAGAAAAACCATATGGGGCGTGGAGGAGGAAAATCAGGAAAATTGTGAGTTCAGTGTGAAAAACAAGTAATAATTATTGACGACGACGACGAGATGATAAAAATAATTAATAAAGAGGTGGATCCGCAATTCAAATTTCTTGATTGAAAAGCGGCATTAAAAATTATTAAAGCTAAGTTTTGTTCTAGCAAACTCGAGGCAGTTTTGATAAGTAACGATTTTATATAGTCGTAAGTCGACTCAACCACAGTTACGTCTAACACAATTAAACCAATGAACAATGAATGCATCGGTCATGAACTGCTCAATCATAAATTGTACTCATTGAAATTTATACGCCGACTTTTGGATTTTCGGAATGGCGATATTTTGCTTAAAAATATTCTTGAGGGCTGAAAAAACAACACAAATTCAACAAATCAAAATATCGCAAAAATATGATTTCTATGATTTCAGATTAGCACGTGTTTGATGTCATTTTAGAATATTAATATTTCATTTCATTTATGGTAACAGTTATCTCAACTTAAAGGCGAGTAACAATGAACACATAATAAACAAATGAAAATAATAAAAAAAATGAACAATAAATCTGACAAGACATTATAAATGTTCGCATCAGCCACGGATTGAATATTTTATGCAACAGAAAACTCGTTATCCGCTTAAAAAGTCTTTTTTTCAACGAATGGCCTAATCGCGAGGAATGTTGCGCGGTAATTTTCGATTCCAAATTTTAAACCGACTCTCTATTTAGAAAATCCTGGCTGCGCTGCTGCTTATAGATAATGTCATATATATAATTGAATTGCCGCAATGTTTCCATATTTTGACGCCACAGTTGTCAAATTTCATTAATGTTGTTATTGCTTCTTTGGACAGTTACAAAATTAGCCGAGCAGTAATCGATTAGTTTGTGGAGCCCCTAGGTTTCTTTCACGGAGCCCTGGGGCTCCGCACGGAGCACTTTGAGAACCTATGATCTACATCACTCAGGAAAAATTATAGTAGGTCTTCAAATGAGTTTATACCTCGAGTGGTTAATCTTTTATATCTTGTGCTCGTTTGGGGAACAACTAAAATACCTGTCAGCAAGTATGCCAGCTATCGATCCACTTGTTATTCCTGATTGAAAAACTGTAATTTTTAGAGGTGCTTTCAGTCATTGTTGCAAAGCATTTCAAACTTAAATTATAATATAGAAATTAAATTTTAAAGTTGAGTACATAAAATGTACGATAAAAGGGGACAATCACAAAATAGGGGGAAATAACAATTTTGAAGTACTTATTATCATGATTCGGCAACATTTCAAATACGTTTCCATTCGTACATGGTATTATGTAAAAGATTCATTGGAGATTATAAGAGACATTGCTGTAGAATAATTTCTGTGATACATGTGTCAATTACTTTTATTTCTCATTCCATAATTATCGGCTGGCATAGGTATAATTAGTTTTACTGCAAGTAGTTGCGAATATATATACCATGTATTGCATGTTATATATATATATATACGTCATGGTGTATTCCCAAAAACCTAAAAGTCAGATTCGATATGAACATATTGGCTTGAGTAAATACCTCATTACTTATCGATTTTAATCGGTAAGTATGTTGATAGGTATTTGTCTGTCTGTCTGTCTGTCAGTTAAATGTACGCGATATCTCACGAAAACGAGATTGAATCTGCTCCACATTTTTCATGTGCATTCATCATATCTCGGACCAGAAGCCTATTAATTTTGGGCAAATTATGTCGTATAATTAGCGAGTTATTAATTAATTAATGATGGGAAACAAGGTGTCACCATGAAGTAAGAGCGCTGTTTTGGGGGATCCCCTATCATTTGGTCGATAAGTCCTCGGTCTCTGACCGATATTCTCGTTTTTCATTGTTATGCAATACCCAGAATACTGTACATTTATTGTGCGTCTTAGCTTGTTTCAAGCAAGATTTTAGATCAATCCTGATCCCAAGTTTGGCACCCCTGTCATAGATTTCATGCTGAACCCGGCTATGTCACTTATCTCATTGTATTTAAATCTTGGTTTTCTGACTGACTTTTTGACAAAATGATTAATGATAAATCGAATTAATTTTAATAAATCTAGTCTGACATGTGTTTACTACTATACCGTAGACCAGCGGTTCTCAACCTGGGGTTCGCGAACCCCGGGGGGTTCACGAGAAGATTTCCAGGGGTATTTGGATGGCAGTCGAGTTTTTATATGTTGCTGTTTTTCAATATTCTTTATTACTACCAGGAGAAAATGCGTGCCCAGTGAAACGTAGATTTTTGCTGATCGGGCGTTGTTGTGATTATGACGCAACAATGTGAAATTCACGGCTTTGCAGGCAAACTGTGAAATCTCTAATGACTGCGTGCTGCGAGCATTGGAGAAAGTGATTATGCTTATTGAAACTTGGAAGAGATTTTTAGAATTCATTAGTTAGACGGAGGACAAGGGCAATAATATCAACACGAAGATTTAATTTAGTTACATCTGGTCAATTAATTGTTGCTGCAACAAATTGTTAGTCGATATATCACAACTTTGTTCGGTATCTGATTACCGGAGTTTCGCATTGGTTGTTTGGTGACTCGAGGGGTACTTGACAGAAAAAAGGTTGAGAACCCCTGCTGTAGACCAAACAATTTGATAAATCGCGGAGAATCATAATTGCTGAATGGCTGCTAACACAATCGGTATACATAGCAATCGTCCTCATTTATGATTGTTACACATGTGGTACAATTTTTATCTGAAACGCCATACCCTCAGTACTCAAATATAGCGTATGGTTGTAATACCGATCCGAAAAAAAAATGCACGAATAATATAAAGGCCAGTGATTGATGCAACAACATATTCAAAGCTGGACGTTTTGTTGATCTATTTTTTCATGGGACATGAGTCAGACTCTTGGATTAAGCAAAATCTGTTTTTCATTTCATTCCCCTATGCCCACTCAGTGCTATGAGAGAATGCGTGCTAACTCACGGTAAGATATGAGTCTGTTGAATATGCATTGGTGTCTGTGTTCAGGTCGTCACTGTCACAAAACTACTATCAATGATACAACCACACAATTATTTCCATTACAAAATACGATCAAGTAATCTCCATTCAACAAAGTAGTCATAGTAATTTCATCCGTATTTAGAGCTTCAAATAGAAATCGGATAAATACTAAATATGGAGGAGTGAATAAATTAGATTAGTTAACCAATTTTCTATGTATGAAAAATTCCGTATTATTTACACTCAAGTTTTAGAAGGCGTATCGAATTCAATAGCTAAGAAATAGACCATTTGAATGTCTCCATTTTTGCTTCCTTATTTCGTCAACTGACACTAATTGTATAAAGTTGGTACTAGTTATGAATATACAGCAAACAATATGGCTATGGTGCTAATCCTGTATGTATACAAATATGATCTAAAAGTTTTCATTTTAAAAAAAAGTGACGCAGTTGAAGTTATTCACAAAGTTAACAATTCCCTCTCCGCGTGATTATCTTTGTTTGAACTGTTAATCGTATTCGACTGGAATTTTTGACATATATTCAATCCATAGTATCTGAAAAATATATATTAAAAAATAATTAAAAACCCGGCGCGCTGACTGAAGTTAAAATTCCGGATAATTTTTATTTCTATATCCGAACAAACTCATTGAAAACAAATTATCAAGATATAAACACGGCCATGGTTATGATAGTGCGATAGCAAATAAAAAATATTTACCGTTTGTTACTTTCAGCTTGTTGAACTGTATCTGGCATCTTCACTCCCATTGTTTCCGGAATGCAAATGATACAAATGATTCCGCTCAGAATTGTTATTCCACCCATTATCCAGTTAGGTATGGAATATTGAATTTTGCCTGTATTAATTCGATAACGATATGTAATAAATAAAAACAAAGAATTAAATAACGCGCTTTTTATAATTTATTATAGTACACATTCAGTAAAAGGTTTTCAATATTTATATTCATGCTTTCTTGTCGTTTTTGTTCTAAACTCATGATTAGAGAGACCCGCCGGATCCGCTTTATCTGTGAGGGTATAATGTCGATCTAAACGTATGTTGTGTATCGGGCGGGACGTGGCCTATAAATGAACACTCGTTCCAATAAATATTTTTTCCCTCCCGATCGCGAATGGAGCTCGGATTGAGTACCAACTTCACCAGAAATTTAACACGATTGTAAGATGATATTTATGACGTCAATATCCATGATTTATTTATGTCGCCAGATGTCACTGTTGAGCTCTCTTTCTCTTGCTGTACTGCATGCTGCTTAGTGCTATGGTTTATAATGTATATGTAATATCCGTAATATACTCAAGCATCCTGAACAGTTGTGTGTTTACCCACAAACAAACAACGATTAAATGCATAAAAACTTCATCAAAACATAAGTAGTCTTGTACTCACCCATAAACATAACAAATGGTGCGATGAACGCTCCAACACGACAGCAGAAGGAGGCAATACTCATTGATGCACTTCTTTGTAAAGTGGGGGATATTTCGGACGTGTTCAGGTAGATAATATAGAAAACTCCACTTACAGCGCCTTTCCCAATTACTGATATCACTGTTCTGATCAAAGACAGCTCTAGATAAGAAAATAACAGTTTTGATATGGATATATATGATGTTTCTTTTTAACTATCTGCGCGAAAACGAGAAATTCCACTTTCACTAGATATAAAATTTATGTGTTATGGTTTAAGATAACTTCACAGTGAATTTGAATTGTACATTTATTTAGAGGACATATGAAGTATAGGAAATATCAATTAAACTATTTTTTATGGCGTATAAAAATTTTATTAAACGCATCCTCACAATATTTTTTTCTAACTACAGAAAAATGTTGATGGTTAGTTTAATAATCTTGGTTTCATTTTAAAACTTTACACCATTCAGTTTGAAAATCATCAAGACTGTTCGAATCTAGTAAAATATATAAGAACTGATATAAGAATTGTCCAGACGGGACCGAACAACATTGAGTTTAAGAAACCCTGATCTATATAGTATCCCACTATGCACATATACGAACATACGTACAACCTCACACACGAGAAACGGCTAACACGTAGACATAGGTATAACCATCGTAAATTATTGTTTTCCAAACCTGATGGTATTCAAATATAAACAGTTTACAATTTTAAGTTTTTTATATTGATTAGTAATCCTTTTCTCTTTATTCCTGATTTTTATGCATTTCTCTATATGTTTTACACCAGGAAAAACTTATATATATATTGAAAATGTTTTGTTGTAATACGTTAAATACCAATGATTTTCACATGATATTATTTCGATAAATTATAAATTTTGGTAAATAAACTATACAACAAAACAATGGTCAAGCAATTCACTGTACTCATGTTGCACTCTGCCTAGATATAAAAATGTTTTAGGGCTTTAGGCAACTTCATGCTCATGAAACGAAATAAAAATAAACCTTACCTTCTGGTAAATATGGAAGAATAATGCTAAAAATTCCGCATGTTAGAAGAAAAACAGTAGTGCATCTTGGACGACCAAGCCTATTCACAGCATAAAAACTAATGACATATGCTGGTATTTCCGCCAATCCACAGTACAATATGTTCAAGTACCGATCATCACTGAAGCTCTTTGAGTGGTACGATATGGCGTAGTACACGAGACCTGTTACAAACCTTTAGAAATATATAAAAAAAATGGTCATTCATATGCTGGATGCAGCAGGTACAATTAAACGTTCACATTTATGTTTAATTTTATAATGGTCTCACTTTTTGCTTAATACGAATTTTACTGCAAACGTAGATTGTCGAAATGATGCTACAGTATTGTATCTTTACAAATGAATATAATACAGTTATACTACATAAAGCGGGGTCTACACTTTTTCAGTTTTTGGTTACGACAAGTGAACATGTCATTTCGAGATCCTATAGACTGTATAGAGTATAGATATATTCTGATACTATTTACTAATGAGCATATAAACAATGTTAAACTATTCTACTTACCATACAAAGAAAGCTGCTAGAAATCTGGAGGTTAATGTAGATTTGAAAATTATGCGAAGGGTTTCAAGTGGCCCGGACGGCGATGCAATTCTAACGTGAGAATCAGCAACACGTGTCTTAAAGTAAATTGTATTGCGTAAATTTAACTGCCAAGACTACTTTATCTTTTGAGTAAATTAATAAATGAAAATACTTTTTTCAATTCTGCAAAATCAATATTCTTTTTGTTCATCTTTGCCATTTTTTTCAGTCCCATGATCGCGTCATTTGTCCTACCAACTCTCAATAGCCAACGTGGTGATTCGGGGAACAACCTGCATACGAGGAGTAATGAATAAGAAGAGTAAAATTTGTATCTATGTTGATGAGAACATATTTAAAGTGAACCAATGCCTCGGTAAAGGTAATATACACACATACTATATATATGAAAATTGAAAAAGATGAAGTTAAATAAGACTGCGGTGCCGGCGAATTTTGTTGTTATTGGGGCTTGTCAACGCTTAGATTTTGGAATTCCAAAGTTTATCATCCCATCGTGGTAGATGTCGGAGTTAAGGATCCAAAAAAGAATCGGAAATAGATTGAACTTTTTCGGATTCTATATATCTGGACGAAACTTCCAAGAAGAAAGAGTCGTGTAATGTAACGAATAGCAAAAATGTAATGTACAAAAGTAAATAATACATCACATGATTGACATACCAGTAGCCCGGTACGTATAGCACAGCACCCAATGCCATAGATGCCCAGACATATAAACGCCAGTGTTGTGTGTAATAGACAATTAACGGCACAAGAACATATCCAATTGAATATGAATACATTGAACCAACTGCCATAAAATTTCTGGATTTCACCGAAATAACTTCCGTCGCTGAAATATATTATTGTAAAGATTATATTATATAGCAAACCACGGAATACACGAGAGCATGTATAAAAATATATCTTACCTAAAACAAAAGCAACAACGTAATTTATCAATCCTGACACACCACTTATATAAACTGCAGTTAAATATAAATAATAGTTCCAAGCAACAGCTGTGAGCGCCATGGATCCAATCTGAGTCAAACTTGCGAGTAAGTATACTGGTCTTCTACCATACCTACAAATTATGCAATATGATTTGAGAGTTTTGAAACAAAAATTTTAAAAATATACATCAATGGCTTCAACTTTGTTGCAAACTTCACTGTCAGTGGTATTAGGTGACACTGTAAGTATTGTATAATAATTAAAAAGTAACAAACGTTGTTTTTCAATCATAATTGCCACTTCACCTGTCAGCAAGAATGCCGGCCACAGATCCACTTGCCATTCCACATTGGAATAACGTAATTGCTAGGGGTGATTTCCAATCATTGTTGCATATCATTTCAAACTGGAAAATACGAAATAAACCGTATACTTCGGAAGTAATACCAACGCATATGTTAGAGAAAAATTATCGAATTGGAATCTACCTCGGTAACTGCGGTATCATGATTAGGCAGCATATCAAATATGTATCCATTGGTACATGGTATGATGTCATAAGATTCGTTGAGATTTATCAAAGACAATTGTGTAGAATAATTCCTGTTATACATGTGACATTTACTTCTTCTTATCAGTCCGTAATTGCCGACTTCCTCGGGTATGAAATGATCAAGAATTTTCTCCCTGGCGTTTGAGTTCTGCGAATGAGAAAATTTTTTATGAAAAAACTCATAACCAATTTTTGCCAAGTAAACTATTTCAAGTAATATATATATATATTATGCTTCGTTTTGTTTAATTGTTGCTTGCTTTTCGTGACACACGCTATCTTACAAAAGAGTACTTACGTTTTTCAATATGTTTTCAATTTTATCCGGTAATCTACAACGGTGATTTGGTTCAAAGTGGTTTACAGCAAACTGCAGTGTAGTAAAAGCATTTGGCAGAGACGCAGTCAACACAACGATATAAATCAGCGTTTGATAACGTCCCCACTTTCCCAATTGATTGAATGCATCGTCAATATTCATGTTCTTGTGTGTTCTTCTATTTTATAATATAATTTTGACCGCTTTGACGCTCGTGAATTTAAATAAAATAATTAAAAATGTATACAATACGGGGTTGTATCGTTTTTTTTAAATGTATATTATGCACACTTGGCATAGTTGGTCTAACGCAGTATAAAGAGCACTTTAAAGAACTAAACTAAATAAATATATTAGTATATATCTCCATAATTGTTATTTTCTAGAAACTGCAGTATTGACCCAAATTGTGATGCGCTTCCTGATTTTTCTGAATGTACTAACGTTGATTAAAATTGGATTTTGATAACACCACACTTGTTGTAGATAGTATATCTGCCTTGACTTTAATTATTTGCTCTCCAGTATGGTATTCAATGTTATCAAAACTGTTTTAGGGAATTATCTTTCAAAACTTCTGAGAATGCCACCCTGTTTGCAGCTTCAAAAACTGTGAACGGATTTCTTCGAGTATTGCGTTAGCCTGCAAAGTACCTTAAAAGTAAATCGTTTGGTAACTTATAGAATATATTACGCATAATATCAATGTGGGAAAGTATAAGCCTGAAAATATTCACATGAATTCTTTGAAGAAATCGTGAATCGTGTGGTATTTGAACTGATAAACAATATGATTCTAAACATTCCTACGCCGTTTTGTTGATTAACTAATGGAATACGTGGCGCATAATATCCATGTGGAAAATTTTGAGCCTCAAACGATTTACAATAATTGATTTCAAATTTCAATAGACAATTGTGCAAAACGTTAAGTATTTATTTATGGATTGAAAAGATGTCACGTGCACATATAGATTATACTGCTCTATAGAGAAATTTTCATAACAACATTTTTTGCGGTATCCAAATATGTGGAATTCACTACACCATAGCTGTTTTCTGGTCGTATTGTCTCAAACTGTTCCAATCCTGGCTTTTGGCGAGCTCACTTTACTTGTAAATCCACCTCAAATTGATATTTTTAATTTTATCCTGAAATACCAGCTTATATTTTCTAGACGTGTTTTCTATTCTATTTCTCCATAAAAAATGCCTATTTGAAAAACGCAGATTTCGTTGTTCTATTCTAACATTCTGTATTGAAATTACTGCATCGAAATATTTGGTATTAAGTAGTTTTAATAAAAAATCGATATTATAACGAATTGTGCGTCTCAATACTTCCTTCCCTGGTTTTGTAGCGAGTCAAACACATAGCATGACGCGTCGTTACCGGAAAACCATTTAAAATGACACTCAAAGCGACAATTGATAATAAATGAAGATGATTCGGGTGGTCAGTTGAAAACAAATATGTATTATATATATTTTTAAGATTGACAACCATATTAAGTTCCATTCCATAAAGAGTCTAAAACAGTGGTTCATCATCTTCTGCGCAAGACACTCACTAACGGTTAGTTCACTCCCTACTGAGTTATATTACAATTAATATGAGAATGGATATGGGGACACACTGAAATATGATATTGTATAGAATCAATGGTGGTTACCACTATCAAGTTTTTTGCGCTGGGCTATAGAAAAGTAAGATATGATAATGCATATGTTTTGGCTAATTAATAGGGATTTTACATTCTTTGTACGGAATGACATAGGGTAAAAACGTGGCAGCATTTATTTCGATCAAGTGAAGCCACGCCACGAGGTCAAAAACTCGCTGGTGGCAAACAATCGCAGCTTTCTTAATTTGAGATAATTTTTAAGAAAATGAATGTCATGTAAAACTGATTGTTTTATATTAGTCATTTAATATTGCGACCATAAAATTGCTAATTTCGTTTAGTAGGAGAGATTATTCTTGGGTCGCGAGATTTACAATTTTTTTTTTAATTCGGGTCGCTTGAAAGAGGGGCTGGAAAACTGCGTCATAAATCATATATTAAAGGTCACCTTACGACACAGGGGATGGATTGTGACGTGCTAATAAAATAACGAGAATATCGGTCAGAGACCGAAGACTTATCGATCGAAAGTTAGGGGATCCCCCAAAACAGCGCTCTTACTTCGTAGTGACACCTTGTGTCCCATCACTAATTAATTAATAACTCGCTAATTATACGACATGATTCGCCCAATATCAATAGGGTTCTGGTCCGAGATCCGAGATATGATGAATGCACATGCAAAATCTGGAGCAGATTCAATCTCGCTTTCGTGAGATATCGCGTGCATCTAACAGACAGACAGACAGACAAATAGCTAACAACATACTTACCGATTAAAATTGATAAGTAATATCAACATCACCCCTACAATAAACAGAATTCGAAGACATAGATGCAATTTATTTATGTTTTACACCCACAAGTTCAAGTTTTTAAAATAACAATGTCCGTAGATTTCCATGTATTAAAAGGAAACGTCTAAAAGAACGATCGAGAAATGATTGCGGGAAACTTGATAGGATGTGAATGACGCGGCGTTTTCAAAATATCATATGCGCGTTTAGGAAATCCTGCGCGTTGTGAGACGCGTTTTGTTCTCATTACCGTATATGTCGATAAACAGGGTGTATCTGAAACGGTATCAGATCAAACTGTATCAGAATGAAATCCTCGGATGTTTTAAGGCATTTTATACCAATATTACAAATTTTATTTTAACAGAAGCATTCAATTTATCAATGATTCACTAGTCCAGAGAGGGAAAGAGAATTGCTTTATTGTTATGTCATAGGTATTACATGTCCTGATCCAACATGGTAAGATAAATTTTCCAAATGCTCAATAGAGGCGTAAATTGACGAGGGGTAATACTGTTTTCTGTAAATTAAAAAAACCTATTATAGGAGCGTTATAAGATGCACGGCTCGTGTAGTTTGAAACTGAATTCAACATAATGTCCTAGAACTTTGCCCATTTGCGTAGGAAATCCTGTAGTCATAATGTATATATATTATCGTATTTATACTGTTCGAGTAACAGAGCTAAAATCATTCTGCGATTTTGTCACTATGAGTATAAACGACTAGTGAAATATGGAAACCGCAGGTGCCTCTCATTACTACCTGCCGTGCAAAGGATTGTTGAAATGAAGAAGCTAGAATAATCGAAAAGTTATTTCAACTCTCAAGGATGTCCTACTCCTATAAAAATTATCTGGCATGCCAACTAATTTATAGCTAATTTTATTGCCCGGTACGTGTCTTCTGGCAAAGATATGGTAGAAGTAGACCTCGGAAACGAACTAAGGTTTGTCCGATTTGCACTGTCCCGTTTTTTGTTCCAGATATATGGTAAGCCTGTACATATATTCAAATAGAATGAATGAATATATATAACGGTACATAACAAATTACTTACGTTTGTCAAAGATTCAGATTTCATGGAAACTCTTAGAACAAGAAAGCGATGCTCAAATATAAGGACACGAAATCCAAAGCAATGCAGTAGTCCAGTGGCTCCCAACCTTTTTACCCTGTAAAACCGGTAAAATTAAATAATATGTACCCGCGGACCGGCAAAAATTGAAATGAGTTGAAGAGAAAATAATAACATATACTTGCGTAGTGTCGAGCAATCACTATGCAGTGTAAACTAATAACATAGAGTCCATATAAAGTTTTGTAATAATCTTTAGCCACTGAAAAACAACAACAACAAAAAACGATCTATAGGTCCACTTTGTGTTCAATAACATTATATTATTCCATAACCTTACAATCAATGAGTAATCGAAAGTTAGTCGCTGCGGAAAACAATGGCAAGGATGGTCTTATTAAAATCGATATATACTGGCTATATGACACTGCGACTGAAATATTATGTAACAGGACCTAACACAACGGGAGTATCTGTTTCTCAAAGTAGAGAACCCTGACGCAGCTCTACCAGGAGCTTTTTTTGGGGGGAGGGGGCAGAAGCTAATTAAAAATAATGATGTCCTCATAGCATAATTGGGTATGTTTGGGTACGAATTTAAGATGTAATTCTTGATCCTTTGCAAATCCTAATGAAACATTCGAAAAAACACGCTGAGATTGGATGCAGTCTGATATCCAAACTCATCTGCAGCAATTGAGAAATGAGTTTCCAAATCCAATCATTCTCAAAGAGGACAGTCTGCAAGAAAACTGCCGAGAAGAATTCTCAGAATGCAAATGCAATTTTAATGCAAAGGACGACTTCGGAACAATGTCACTGGGCGAATTCTGGGTTAAATATGCACAAGTGCACAAAAAAGTGGGTAATGTTACTCTGCAAATTTTGATACAATTTTCATCAACGTATTTATGCAAAATTGTTTTTTTCACACCAGTACACGTGAAGACAAAAGCACGGAAACAGCTTAACTGTGATGGCGATTTACGATGTGCATTATTCTCCACAAAAAAACTTGAACAAACCAATAGATCCAATTACAAATTGGCCATGTTGGTTAAGTTCACCTCGCACATTATTTAATCATTTCAGTTGAAACCAGGTACGATGGCGTCATTAGGCCTCAACACGAATTTTCCCCATTATCTACGGTAATATGTACATTGACCATGCTAAAGTTATTAGTCTAGTACAGGGTGGTCCAAGGTTGTCGGCCTCGCGGGCCACATCATAATATTTGTATTGTTCGTGGGCCACAATAGTGTCAGGAATAGGTAAACCGTGCATTACAAAACAAAAACTTTTTTTTATCAAACTCATGTTTGGATAACTTGCCGATTGATTGATTACCAAATTTGAGTTACATGAGGGTAATTACAAAATTTTCTGACATTTAGGTAGCATTTTTTGTAATATTGTTTAGGCTGGTTGCAAAAAAACACCCGTAGGAATCATATTGGTCGGACATTACATTAATATTTAGTTATCATGCATAGCTAACCTAGACTAATAGATTCCTCATTCGATTTTTAGTTTTCTATGAAGCCTATTTTGCTAGCATATATTACCGACCCAAACTATAGAAACCAGTTTAGACTTGCCAAGCACCTCATTCAACTTCTCTAGTTGCCTCAGCTAGCCATAACACTAGACAATTCAATGACATTAGTGATGTAACAATATGTCAGAAAAGTTTTATGACGAATTACCCTCGCGCAAATTCAACGCGGGCCACAAAAAAATGGAGCGATGTACCAAGTGTGGCCCGCGGGTCTGGGCTTGGACCACCCTGCTTTAGTGAAAGGCAGACGCTACTTCCATCGCGGTAAAATTCGAATGAGGCGATTTATTGACTACGTCATGCCTTCCCCCACCTTTGTAACGAGAGAGAAAAAAGAAAAAAGACTGTGTATATCGGAACCTGAACTTCTTCTATATTTTCCCTTTTTTTTGTAAGACGCATAGGTACGTTCGTGGCACTAAACGGTGTGTGCCAAATGACGTATATATAGGTCTATATGGCACGGAAAGTTTAAAATGAGAAAAAGGTCGATGTTCTGGAGTAATCAGACTAGTGAACGCACAATTTACAGTTTAAATTGTTAAAACATATCTGAACCGGTTGAATCACTTTTACATAGGAGCGCATCGTCTTATTTTCACGCTCGCGGTATATCAAATACAAAAATGAGTTTTTTTAATTATGTAAAAAAATAATAGTGACAAATGAATATTTGTATTAAGTTACCTCGGTAATTTTCTGATTCCAGCTGATTTTGGTGCGAGAAATCCTCTTTCCATAACTATATTGAAAATGATTCGGGGAAAACGATCATCAATTTGCTCGCCAAGTGATTCATGAAAAACCTGAGGTACGTCATCAAATGAAATAACTAGATAGCCATTGGAGACCCCCGGCTTATAGATCCCCTGCATGTTCAATATTTTACTCAAAAATGGACTCAATATCGACACCGCGTGTCCCATCACTAATTAATTCATAACTCGCTGATTACACGACATAATTCATCCGAAATCAGTTGGCTTTTGTGTTTGCAAAATTATGCACATGCAAAATTTGGAGCAGATTCAACCTCGCTTTCGTGAGATATCTCGTAACATACGAAAGTGTCTAACAGACAAACAAACAGACAAATATCTATCAACATACTTAGCGATCGAGATCGATAAATAATAAGAGAGGATAAGCAAATGTAACTCAACAGTGAAATATACGTTATAAATGTAGCAGTAAAGCTACATGCTATTAGAGGTTTTTTGGAAACAACTATAAATTAAATTAAATTTCGCTCCGTTTTATTGGATTAACACTTTGTGAAATTGTTGAAATACTTGTGCATTTATTTTTGAGATTCATGGAATAGTTGTACGCGTTCCCCATTTAAAAGCTGATCGATACAGGATCATTTTTATTTTATAACGTATTATAATATGTTTGACAAGCCAACTAACTACTAATACAAGACGTGTATAAAAGTGACCATACATCCAGTAAGTAATACACTTACAAACGCAGCGATTGATGTTGATTAGGTGTGTTTGCAAAATTATACACCTTGCAAGATCAAAAGCGTATAATTTAGGGTTCGCATATGATTTTGTATAGCATTTTTGATTCAATATTAAGCTGAACAAATATTTAGGAGATTATCTTCGCTCAGCGACAGCTCGTTACATGTGGTATCTGACTGGAGGCGAAACTTCAGAAATTTTTTGACTAGTATGGTTATCACGTTTTGATATTACCGCTCAGATATTTTTGCATGAATATTACTGCATTGCCGTCTGCATAGAACTATAACCGCTATGCAGGTTTATCTTCCCTAAAGCATTGTAGCATATTTAAAAAAATGAGACCATTATAAAACCATTATAAAAACGGCAGCAAAGGTGAGTTACAACTTTTCATTTCAACTAAAGTTAATATAAACTTTTGATAGTGCCCAAATCAACTATCTAGAAGGTGCGCTTTGCAAATGATAAATTTGGTGAAACATAATAATAAAGGCCCGATCAGCGAACTTTAAAACACCCCAGATCGCAACCCCTGTTAAGATACAAATTTTGTCTGCGCATTGTGGAGGCTATAAGCTATGGCGAAAAAGGTCAAGACGTACTTGCAGGAGGCTAACCGTTTGTCGAAAACGAGCAAAAACAGAAATTTTTCTTCGATTGTTGGCGTATTACCGGTTTTGTAGAAACCAGTATTTCTACTTAGAGTTAAGCATTGATAAGTTTCTAAAAAAAAGACGATCTTGATCGCATTAGCAAATTACTTTAAAAGTGAATCGCTTGGTATTTTATCTGATAAAAAATATGATAGTAAACACGCCTACGCCAGTTTTTTAATAAACCAATAGAATATCAATCAATTGTGAACCTAAAAATATTTGGAAGAATTCGTGTAAAGTTTCAGTTGTGCGTGGGCAGAAGTGAAAGACAACATAACGCTCCGTCGCTATGGACTCAGGCACTTACCTTAATCAAAAAGCCAATTATGTGACCGTTGTGCGTGGGATTAATTATTTATTTATGGTTTAAAAAAGATGTCGTCTACACTCAAATTTCCAGAAAGCACTGCATTAGAGAATGTTTATGCTAACGTTTTTTTCGAGGATTTCATTTGTGTGGAATTTACTACATCATGGCCGTTTTCTGGTCGTATCATGAACTATTTCAAGGCTGTTTTTATCGAGCTCACTTTACTTGTAAATCCACCTCAAAGTGATATTCCTAATTTTATATTGAAAATACAGCATATATATTCTATATATATGTATTTCCTATTCGATACCTTCATAACAAATGCATAAATAAAGAACGCAGATGTTGTTGTTTCATGCTAATATGCTTCATTAAAAATACTGCATCTGAATTTTCGGTCTTAACGCGTTTCAGTAAAGCTTCGAGATTATACCGAATTTTGCGTCCTAATACTTCCTTCCCTAGTTTTATAGTGCGTCAAACACATAACATGATGCGGCGTTTTCCGAAAACTATTTAGAATTACATTCAAAGCGACAATTGATAATATATGAAGATGATTGGGGTGGATAGTTGAAAACAAATATCTGTTATATATTTTTTTCGAAGTCTGACTTCATTTCAAGTTTTATCATATTTAATATGAGAATAGTATGGGCTATACTGCAGGGATGGCGAACCACTGACCCGCGGGTCACAAAGTGACCCACGTCGTTTTATTCGTGACCCACCAAGGCACGGATGAAATGAAAAAATGCTAACATATCAGTGCTAAAAAGTGATAAAACCGGCCTTAAATTATTAACTACTATAAACTATAACTATTATAATGTACCGTCAGTTGGGCAGTCAAGGCTGCGATCGCTCATATTCGAATTTATATTTCCGGGCCGGTATGATAATTTTCAAAACCCCTAATCTTGGACGCATGTCTGCACCGCTGTGTACCGATATTCAGCTATTGGCTCTGACATCGTTTATGATATAACAATGCAATTGATCTTGTAATTTTCGCAACGCCTCGTCTCTTTTGGAAGTGCACCTGTATGCCTTTTAGGGGTAATACG